CCCCTTTCTCAACCCCCCCACTCAGCAGGGCCTGTCCTCCGACAGGGATTTACCTCCATCAAATCGGCCCCGACGGTAGACCTTCCCACGTCAAACTGGTGTCCCACAGAACGGTAGCTGTCGGGGGTGGCCAGCTTCCACAGGGCGATTGCAACCCACTTCTGCAGGGGAATAGCAAGCCGCAGGTGGGTGTCCTGGTGTTCCAGAGCAGGGTGAGCCAGGCACACGGCTCCAGGAATGTGGTCTTCCGCATCCAGAAGTTGCTGCACCGGTGGTCGTCATCCCAGATGGCGAGCTGGTCCCACCAGTCCGAACTCCCAAAAAAGTTTGGGGGCAAGGGCAGAGCTCCTGCATCCTGGAGGAGGGTCTCCTAGGTATGGTCCGGGTTCATATGGAGCAGGAGATTCATGATAGAGTCATGCAGATGCAGCAGAAGCTGCAGTATGGCAGCGTGGGGCCATCGCCTGCCCAGGGGCAGCTCAGGCTCCATGGCCAAATAAATGGTGAAAAGCAGGAAAAAAAACCCAGAAAATAAATTTCTGTGGTGTCCAAGGAAGCAGGGCAACCAAAGCAAAAACTGCAGCAGCTTTGCTTTCCCTCTAGAAGGTAGGCAAGCCAGAGCAACGGCTGTCCACACGTCTCTGCAAAGAGCAGGCAGCAGCACCTGGACTTTAAGTCTGCCCCTGTGACCTTCCAGAAGCACTTCCAGGTGCCTTCTTTTGTCAACAGAGTGTCCGGCAGTCTGGACGCTCTTTGTCGACAAAGCAGATCGTTTTTTTTTCAATCCACGTCATGTAGTCTAGATGCTCTTTGTCAACAATATCTGTTGACAAAGCCTCTGTCAAAAAAGGCGTGCAGTCTAGACGTAGCCCCAGGTATTAGCTCCCCATGGAGAAACAGTAGCAAACAGCTGGGAAAGGCTACTGCCTTAGCTCTGTGAGGAGAGCCAGAAGCAAAAGCAGCAGCTCTGCTTGCAGCTCCCAGCAGTTTGCTACTGCCTCTCCCTACAGCTGTAGCTCCCAGTCTTTCATCTCCAGCAGCTTCCATACAAGGTAGGGGCCTGGCAACACCATATGACTGAGTGTGAACAGCAAACCCTGGCAGAAATCTGACATTACCTCCTCCTCCCTCCTCCCACACACATTGCCTCTGGCTTCTCCCATTGGGGAAGGATTCTTTGGGCTTCAGCCCCATGGGGTGTGCAGCACCCCGGAGCCCCCCCAGCCATATTCCAGCTTTTGAAAATATGAAAATTGTTGCTTGTGGCTCAGAGGGTCAGTAAGTTGGGCCACCCCTGATACATGTACTGTATGTTATCACAAATGTGCCATTCTGTAAATTGCCATGTGAATTGGGTTCTCATGAAAACTGGACCAATAGTAATGGATCAGAGAGGAAGAGGTGATCACACCTAAATTGGGTCAGGATATTCAGGGCACTGGAGATAGAAACTACCACCTTGGCTTTCACCTGTAAGTAGATTGGCAGACTATATGGAGAATGAATCATCCTGAGCTGAGGGGGAACCTGCAATGGGAAAATATGGAAAACTTGTTCTGGAATTGCTGCTGGGATTTAATACCAAAATTCAAATGTCACTTTACCATTTTATTCAGGCCTTGTGTCCAAGCCAGAGTAAATGGAACTTTTCCTTGGCAGAGAGAAAGAGGAGGGATAGTATGTTACAACTGGTAAAAGGCTCAGAGTGCAAAGATGAAGTAGGGGAGGCATTGTGATTCAAAGGTGTATCTTTGAGTCATAGTATCTCCAAGGGCTACGTCTGGGGTTGTTCCGTTTAACTTCTACAGTACTCCATGCTCAGAGCTATGCCTAAAGTGACTAGCCCCAAATGGCAGATTATGTATTCAGAAATGGAAGCTGCTCTTTAAAAACATGGTCCATGAGCTTTATTTTATCACTGTAACAAGACTAATTTTTAGAGCATCTTTTAAAGCTGTTGGAATTATTTTAATAAATAGGGTTGCCAGATGTCCAGTTTTGAATCAGACAGTCCAGTATTTGAGCTTTCTGTTCGGGAAACAAACTGAGAAAATATAAATGAGACCATATAAATGTCCGGTATTTTCTAAATAAGATGTAATGTAGATTGTGATGTAATGTCAAGTGTGTCTGGTATTTTTGTTGAAACCATCTGGCAACCCTATTGATAAAGGAAAAATACAGAAGAATAAGGTTAATGTTTTTGAATGTTTTCTCCAGCAGAATTAATAGACTGTTACATAAGAACATGTGAGCACCTGCATTCATTACTTTCCCTTTTGCACTTGTTATGAGTATTAAAAGTGACAGGCTGTGTTTTCTGATAATGATCACATTTAAATCAAATGCAAACATGTTCATCCAATTTTCATAGGGTCATGCACTATGCTATCCCTTTATTGTCAGGCAAACAAATATATCTCATTGTTTCAGAACATTAGAGTCTGGAGCCCTACCAATGTACGTATTTGCTGAATTAGCATTCACATTTCTTGTCTGTCATCTATCCAATGACTACAAAGATTTAAAAAAATGAGGAAAGAGCCAAGATACAGGGAAAATCATGTAACTAAATACATATTTATTTGGATATATGCACACTAAATGCAGTTCATCCTCTGTATCCCTGAGTTCTAGAAGGGTATGATCTGTGAGTGTCAATGGGTGGGCCACAGCCTAGCTCTGGGGGATAGGGGATGTGAGTATCTGGGCCGGGGCCCCCCATTGCTGGGTTTTGGGAGAAGGGGCAGAGAAGCAGGAATTGGGTAGTTGTAGATGTTTCCTTAACTCTCTACACTCTGAGAAATTTGTGTTTGTGTGTCTGGAATGTTACAGATCTACTTACTGACGGATATTATAAAATAATTTACCAAAATAATTGAAACTGCTGTGATTATATGCTATTATTTTGAAAAGTGAGATTTGCAGAATTTTAAATATTGTGCATAGAATTTTTAATTTTTTGGTGCAGAATTCCTCCAGGAGTAGTTTATGGCACTTATTACTGTGGTAATTTGTGGCTCCAACCAACAGGAACAAATTTTCTCTCTGTCTAGTAAATCTACTTCCTAACTGTTTTCCACCTCATTGTAAAGCATATCTTGTCTCTCTACCCATCTGTCAATAATTATAGGAACATTTAAAAGTAAAGTGATTTGGGGTGTACTTTGTATGAAACTACACAATAGGGACCACTCTTTCAAAAGGGAATTGGAGAAGGAGATTTGGGTGAGTAAAGACTACTGCTATGAACGTGGGCTGGCTTAGACTTCCAATAGTATATTGTAAAATATATACATGTTGCGGTATAATTAAAATTGTATAAGATAAAAGACTACATTTCATTAAATCAGGTTTTCACACCTTTTCATCTTACTCTTGGTATATTTGTGGCAAAAATGTTAATGACAAATTTGAATTTTTCATTAAACTTGAGTTAAATTTTGTGACTCATTTTATAACTAAATTATGTGAAAGTTCTTATCAGATCATTACATCTGAAATAATTTTAATTTACTTGTTACATTCTTGCTTTGCACAAGTTTGACTTTCTGCATTTCCTGACACTGGGAAAGTGAATCTAGAAGGGGTCCCTCTCTTTCTGAGTTTACTCTTGGTCTAGCCCAGTATCAGTGGGGTTGGGTGTCCCATCTTGCTGTGGTTCTAGCTCTGTGATCTGTTACTATTTTAGGATTAACAGTGAAATCATTATCGCTGGTCATCTGAAGAAGTGGGCTGTGCCCACGAAAGCTCATGATACCATCTACGTGCTTTGTTAGTCTTTAAAGTGCTACCAGACTATTTGTTGTTTTTTAAGTTTATCCTATACAGACTAACTCTGCTACCCCCTGAAGCAGTTGAAACCATTGTGATCCATATGAAGTGTGGGTGGTGGTGGGCAGCTGGATCCCAGTAACCAGGGGTGGCCTGCGAGCCTAGGCGCCCCGTGATGACATCATGGTCATTGACAGCCGTACAGGTGGGGGCGCCAATTGTGCCGCCTGCCTGGGGCCCCCCCCCTGCCACTAACCCTGGGCTTTGCTTTTGGGTGGGGCAGCTCCTGCCTTCCTATCATACGCCCTTTTCTACTGTTGCCTCCCTGGATAGTTAAACAGAGTTGGGAGAAATGGAGACTGGAGCAATGTGTATAATGGGGTGGTGAGGGCCATTGAACCATCCTGTAGGTGACAGAAACCATTCCAAGACAGGGGTGCAGCACCTGTGAGGGGGAGAGGGGCTGCCTAGACTAGAGTTGCAGCACTTGTGTATGAGAGAGGGGCTGCGTAGACTAGCGCAGTGGTTCCCAAAGTGTGGTCCAGACTAGAGTTGCAGCACTTGTGTATGAGAGAGGGGCTGCCTAGACTAACGCAGTGGTTCCCAAAGTGTGGTCTGTGGCTCAGTACTGGTCCTTAGAAGAAAAATACTGGTCCTTAGAAAAATTCATGCACGATCCTATTAATTTGTGTGACGGGGTAGCAGCACCCCACACAACCGACCATGGTAGCATGGCCCTCTTGGGAGAGAGCCCGCTGCTGTGGTGTCTCTGACGGGCACGCTCCCGGACTGCAGGGCTAGATCCTGTAGGCACTAGGACCCAAGGAGAAGGCCTGACGCAGTGCACACCGAGGCAGAACGCCCGGTGCCGGACGCAGCCGGGGGAGCCAGTGGGCCGATAAAGCAGCTGGGATTGAGGCCAGGATGGGGGGAGGGGCAGACCAACCCCCCGGACAGGTAGGGTGACACAATTTATTTGCATATTCATCATTTGCTTAGTGAATATGCAAATATGCAAATAAATGTTACTGGTCCTCCACAAGTTTGTGAATCCAGTTTTCCAGTATCAAAAAGATTGGGAACCACTGGACTAGAGGAAAAAAGGGAGGGGGCGTCCAGATTTGACAAAGGAGGCGGACACACTAGTCTCTCTCTCTATGGACCTCCTAGCCTGCCCCACGTGCCTACCGCTACCCTGTTCGACCCCCCTGCGCCTGCGCTCTGCACTGGCCCAACTGCGAGCTCTGGCGCTGAGAAAACTAAGTGGCGACTCACTGCGCTGTTCATATGGCAACAGAGCGCGAGCTGTAAACACGCGGCTGCAGGGGGGCGCTGCTCTGAGCCCGGGAGCTGCAGCGGCGCGCGGGTACCTTGCACGCCACTTGCCCGGTCTGTGGAGTCCGCCGCGGGGTCTCCCGTGAGCCTGGAGCGAGCGCGAGGCGTCATGGGCTGTTCTAGCAGCACTCAGACCCAGACCCAGGACAGCAACCGGCCGGCTGCAAAACCCAGCGACACCAACGGGCTGCAGAAATGTGGTGAGCACGGACCGGCCAAGCGGGGCTCTTCTCTCTCTGGTGTGTGCTGGGGCCGGGCCGGGGCAGCCCAGAGTCAGACCTCACGCATGGGGCTGCCCTGCTGCCCATTTCTTATGGGGGGTCAAAGTCTCGGAGAGCCGGTGTTGTTTATTATTAGTGTCCGCTGTTACGATTTTACTGATTTTGTCCTTCGCTAGCGCCTCTAATCCCAGCCCCCCAAAGCACTTTGCAAGGTGGATGTAAGTGCCATCTCTGGCTGAGGGCATTCGCTTTGTTATCCAGACTTGAATGCTGACTGTGCAACCAAAATAGTGTGCACAATGTGCTAAGTGATTTACAGAATACATCAAAAGCTGATGGTCAGTGCTCCGAACAGCACCTTAGGAAGCCCGTCCCTGTAAACGTGCATGTGGATTATTTTACTCAAGAAGTGCCGCTGAGTTCGATGGGAATAGATAGGGGTGATAAAGTTATGTGCTGGAGTGCTTTTAGATTGGGTTTCAAATAAGTCATAACATCTCAAAGGATGACAACAAACAAGGAAAGCAGAATTGCAGGAACATGCTCCTCTAGCAAACTTGTTTTCAAGTTAAAAAGTAAATCCAGTCCTTGAAGGAAGAATTCTTTTTAAACCAGAAAGTGTAGTAGTGTCAAGGGACTATACTACTTGTGCTGCATTTCCCAGAGTTATTGCCAAGGATGCACCTACAGTAGTCATTCAAGCAGGCATTCTAGAAATTTGTCACCATGATTTCTGTTTTCAAGTTCTGTTTTCACAGTTTATAAACATAATAAAAAGTGCTGGAACTTAATATACAAAGTCTTAGCCTAAAATCATTACTTTTTTAATAGACATTTTTCTATGTATAGGTAGACATTTTAAGACTCCAAATGAGTCATCAAATAAAATCTTAACACCTTCTATTAGTGAATTAACACAAACCAACCAAAATAAAATAACTCAACCTAATGGTACCTGCGAAGTTATGAAAAACAATAATATAATAAAGTTATTTTGTAGCAGTTCATAAAACAACATATCAGCAATTGTTCCAGATCATAGAAACATTCCTAGGAAAGCATTCTGAGTTCCTTCAAGGCAAGATGCAAATCTTTGTCTAGTATTGGGTGATAGGTGTTTTTTTTTTTTTTTAACTTTTAAAAATTAAATTTCAGCTTCAACCATCTACATTAGCTAAAACTAGGGCTAGACTTTTGTAAGCAACCTTGTGGGGAAAACTAATTGTACATCAAAATTGTCACAAGCAGGTTGTATATCTAAACTTGGCAAAGAAGATGACTAGTGTTTACTATTTTGAGACAAAACTGTGGCCTACATTATTTTATTATATGATTAAATGATTGTCTCATTTTAAAAACTACTTTTATAACAGTTTAGCATCACTGAGCCTAATGCCTGTCATTATATTTGTCATCCAAATATTTTATATTTATGGTACTTTATGTTCTGCTTTTTAATAAATATTCGCTGTCCACAGTTTGTCATCCAAATATTTTATATTTATGGTACCTTATGTTCTGCTTTTTAATAAATGTTCGCTGACCACAGTTTGTTCATCTAACAGGCCTAATTGTGCTCCAGCTGAAGTCACTGGCAAAAGGAGTGCAGAGGCACATCAAATCTGAGCCCAGTTCTGCAATCTGCCCATGTCACTAGAACTTTAAACTTCAATCGGGGTCAAGATTGCAGGATCAAGCATACATATTACTGGATTTTTAAAAATGTGTAAGACAGCTATGGGGAACCTAAGGCATGGGGTCTGGATGTGGCCCCTGGGTTGCCTGGATTTGGCCTCCAAGGCTTAGGGCCTCCCCCAGCATTGGGAAGCCCACGCTGGCACTCCAGCCCTGCCACAGCCGTCCCCAGCCCCTGACTGATTTTTCTGTGCGTTAGCGGCCCCCTGGCCCAAAAAAGGTTCCCCACACCTGGTCTAAAAGGTATACATCCACTTGATTGAGGTGTTATATAAGAAGCCTCTCCACCTGCTTTAACCATTGGGGTTAAATTCATACTCTGGGTAGATCCTCACTGAGTCAGATTCCACTGACCGTACAATTCAGATGGTTAAACTGTACTAGAGAATCTGGTCATGAACATATTCAGGTTTAACATATCAGTTCTTTAAAATAACAAGCATCTGTTGGAATAAATAACTCTGTAATACAGTGATAAAGTGGAAATAAATTATTCTGATATTTCCTTTGCATGTAGTGGGAAGGATTTCTTTAAGCAAGTTAAGGACCGAAACCTACAAAATCTCATTCATGCTGATATGCCTTGCTCAAACAGTTCTTTCAGGTCTAATGCTGCTCGAATGAAGTCAGTGAGGCTGTGTCTAGACTACATCTCTTTTCCGTAAGAGGGATGCAAATTAGACACATTGCAATTGCAAATGAAGCGGGGATTTAAATCCTCCCCGCTTCATTTGCATAAACATGGCTGCCGCTTTTTTCCAGCTTGGAGATTTGCCGGAAAAAAGCGCCAGACTAGACGGGGATCTTTTGGAAAATAAAGCCTTTTCCGAAAGATCCCTTATTCCTCTTTAAAAAATGTAGCCTTGCAGGAGGCATAAGGGATCTGTCGAAAAAGGCTTTCTTTCTCGACAGATCCCCCCTCTAGATTGCCTCTTTTTTCTGACAAAGTGCTGAGTCATCAAAAATGGGGGTAATTTTTATGCAAATGAAGCGCAGGATATTTAAATCCCCGCTTCATTTGCAATGTCGACCTGCCTAATCTGCATCCCTGTGCCGACAGAGGGATGCAGTCTAGACATACCTTTAGTGTCCAAGATATTTACTTCCTGAATTAATTTAATAGGAAAAAGACATTTGCAAATAGATTTCCATAAACAAATTTACAGAAAAACATATTTCCGCCACATGGCTATGGCAGGTCCCAGCCCCCCTCAGCCACCCTCCCATGGCCCTGCCAGCTGGGCCGCATAGTTGCTGCCAGAGCTGGAACTGGGGCTACAGTGAAGCTGCGTCAGTAGAGACAGCACACCTATTTGTTTACTACCCAGCTCACACCACCCTGCTGCTGCATGGGGAAGTGGGTGGATGGGGAACCCCCAGTTGGAGGGGCTAATTGAAAGCTGGGGGTATACCCTAGCAATGTGCCGCAGCCGGCAGGCAGGGATTCATGGCCCACTGCTGGTTTGTGGATCAGCGTTTGGGAACCACTATCTGCCTCATTAGGGTGCTCCAAAATAACTGTTTTCTCCCTTACTACCTCTCACGGAAGGTTGTTTCCCTTCAAGGATATACCACAATGAATTTATTTCAAAATCAATCAGACTCAAATAAATTAAAAACAAGATTTATTACATTCTTCAGCCATTTACCCATGTATCCAAAATAATTCTTAATTCTGCTGACAACTCTCATCATTACAGTAATCATTGCACCAGAAAATGCAGTTTGTCAGAATCTTGTAATTACTGTATTAATGCATTTCCTCCATGAACTCCCTTAGGCTTCTGTCATCTTAATATTTTTTGAGAGATAGTTAAGTCCAATTTCTTGGCAAATTTAATCATTTGATTAAATCAGCTTGGTAGATTGGTATTAAATTGATATCTCATTCTGTGATTTGTTTAACTTAAATGCCCACAGGAATGATGCATAAAAGCAATTTTGTTCTATTTTCTCCTGAACTTCATCTAGCAGACTGATAGCTTTATTTATCCTGTAATCCAGTGGCAGATGAAGGAGCCAAAACTGTTTAGTTAATGTTTTTCTATTTGAATTATTCCTTCCACATTGGTAGAGAAGTACATTTAAATGAATAGTTTGTGTTATAAGAGAGTCATATGTATAGTCATTCAGTGTTAAAAATGTTGTGCATTTTAAGAAGTTATGACACTAGCATTATGACACAATGCTTTCTTTTGTCGTGTATGTGAAGTACTGTGCTGTCAATGCCCTGATCTTCACTGCGGTTAGTAGCGATTTAGGCAGGTGTCCCATTGTGCTTTGGGGTATATGTTTTCTCCTCCAACATGTCTGGAGTGCATATTACTGCAGATATCGTTAACAGGAACTGTGTGGCTGCATCAAGGAGAGAATCTACCTAATGGCTGCTAGTTATGTTGAATAAGAAAACCTCACTCAGTGCTTTGCATTTTCAAGTGAAAGACATGGCACCCCCTCTGTAAGCATGATCCGTGTGCATCTAGAATTGTCAGCCTGTCAACTGCACAAAACCAAACACCCTTGTCCCGATCTCTGTCCCTACTTTGAGGCCTCACCATAGCTCACTCCATCTCCTCTCCCTCTGTCACTTGCTCTTTGTCCTCACTCACTTTCACAGAAGTGGAGAGGGTGGAGGGCTCCAGCTTGGGGTGCAGGCTGTGGTGTGGATCTAGAAATTAGGGCTTCATGGTGCAGAAGGGGGCTCTAGGTTAAGGCAGGTGGTTGGGGTGAAGGAGGAGGTGAGTACCCTGGGCTGGGCCTACAGCTAATGTGTTTGGGGTGTAGGAGGAGGCTTTGGGCTGCGGCCAAGGGGTTCAGAGTGCAGGAAGAGACTTAGAGATAGGGGGTGTAGGTTCAGGGAGGGAGTTTGAATGTGGGGGTGAAGGGTACAGGCTCAGGGAGGCTCGTACCTCAGGCATCTCCGGGAAGCAGCTGGCATGTCTGGTTCCTATGCAGAGGAGTGATGGGGCTCTGTGGGCTGCTTGTGCCCACAGGCACCGTCCTCACAGCTCCCATGACTCTGGATCAGTGAAAGCTGGGAAGTTGGCACTTGGGGCAAGCTCAGCATGAGGTGTCTCTGTGGCTGCCTCCGGGTATGCTGGCTGCTTCTGGGAACTGTGCAGAACCAGGGAAGGCAGGAAGTCTGTCTTAATCTTGCTGCAGCACTGTTTGGACTTGTGGCGGCCTGATCAACAGTGCTGACCAGAGTTGCCAGGATTCTTTTTCAGCTGAGTGTTCTGATTGAAAACGTGTTGCCTGGCTACCCTATGAGTATCCCAAGGTAGAATTTAACACTCAGTACACTCGCTCTATGTATATTTTTGCAGTAGAAATTGTTTCCTTAGTCCACATCTGATCATGGGGACCTGCCTCAGGCAAAACTTATTCAGATATGCTTAGATATTCAGTATGCTTTACTCATCGGAATGACAGATCTACTTAAAGAATATTTTTTATACATAGATGCAAACTGTATTGCAGGCTGTAACTTAGAGCTGAGTGAATAATTTTTTGTTTGTTTTTGTTTGGGGGTTGAGTTCAAATTTAAAAAAAAAATCCGATTTTGTTCAGTGCAAAGCTGAAAGTTTGTTTTCATCAAAATGAGAGAACCAGAAACATCATTTGGATCAAGTACAATATTTTGTTTAAACCAAAATTATCTTTTCCAGGATTTTTTTTGGACATTTTCACCCCTGTATGTGGTAGTTTTAAATTAGCTACGTATCAAAATAAAAGCAATTGAAATGAAAAGCGCAAACATTATTTTTCAAAATGGCCAAGACAAAAACACTTCCAATTTAGAAAAACACTTCCAATGCAAAATGTCAAACAATTTAAAAAATCACAATTAATCATGAGATTATAAAAAAAGTTGCAATTAATCAGAGTTTTAAATCACACTGTTACATTTAAATTAGCATTCTATTATTGTTTATCATAATTATATTTGATACATTTAAAAATACAAACTATACAGAATACAAACTGTACAGAGCTCACTTAATATTGTTTTTATTGCAAATATTTTCACTGTAAAAAAGATCAATAGAAACTTAATATTGTTTTTATTGCAAATATTTTCACTATTTTTTCACAGTATTTTTGAGTTAATCTCATACAAGTACTGTAGGGCAATCTTTTTATTGTATAAGTGCAATTTACAAACGTGAAATAATTTTTTTCGTTTACACAATTGCACTCAAACCCAAAACAATGTAAAACTTTAGACATTATAAGTCAAAGCATGAAGGGACATACAAATGTTTAGCATATATAGCATGTAAATATCTTGCAACACCTGCTACTATGGTGCCATACGTAACTCCTGTTCTCTCTTTTAGGGGAGATTGTAAATAAGAAGTGGGCAGTATTATTTCCCATAAATATAAACAAACTTGTCCGTCTTATAGATTAGCTGAACAAAAAGTAGGACTCAGGGCATGTCTACACTAGGAAATTATTTTAAAATAACTAAATTCAGAATAACTCCAGAAATAACAAAATTGAAATAACATGTCCACGCTATGGGGGAGCCTCGAAATTAGTCGGAAATAGGCTCCCTTAGTGTGGATGTGCTACCTCGACTCTGAGCCCCAGTCAGCATTGGGGAGTAATAACTCTGAGGAGTAGTTGTTTTGAAATAGCAAGCAGCGGAGTGTCCACACTACCACTATTTTGAAATACTTATTTTGAAATAAACATTAATCCCTGAGGAAAGCAGGAGTTATTTCAAAATAATCAGCCCATTATTTTGAAATAAAGGGCTTCATAGTGTGGATGCTCTGCTTGTTATTTTGAAATAAGGGGGGTTATTTTGAAATAACTCCCTAGTGTTCACCAGGGCTGGGTGGACTTGTGGGCTCTAAAGCTTTACATTGTTTTATATCATCAGAACAATGTTTTAAATTAATTCATTTGTTTTGTCTTGTTTTAACTGTGATTGACAGCTTTAATTTTTGTCCTTTGGTCAAAACTGTTAGCTGAATTGGATCTACATTGGCAGATAGTTTTGATACCCTGAAAAATGCATTTTTCACCAAATTTACTATTGACCAAAAGCATTTCACCCAGCTCTAATTGTGATGTCCTGATCTTTTTAAACAACAGTTCATTAATGTCATGTTTTCTTTTTCTTTTTAATTACAATACATTAAAAACTATTTCAGATGAAAACTCTCCAATCACAGAAGAAAATGAAACTATACCTGACCAGACAAAGTTGGACTCAATGGAGGAGGTGGATCTCACACCTGAGGAGACAAAACCCAGTGAGAATCTTCCAGCTAAGGAGACAGAAGTTTTGATTCCAGCAACCGCAGAATGTGTTAATTCTGACTATAAAAGAGAGGATCTGGAGGGCATTCAACCACTGGCTGCAGAACCACTGGACGGCACTGAACCACAAGTGAAACAGATTGAGATACCGCCGCCTGTGGGACCGGCAGAGGGCACTGGGATACCGCCGCCTGCGGGACCGGCAGAGGGCACTGGGATACCGCCGCCTGCGGGACCGGCAGAGGGCACTGGGATACCGCCGCCTGCGGGACCGGCAGAGGGCACTGGGATACCGCCGCCTGCGGGACCGGCAGAGGGCACTGGGATACCGCCGCCTGCGGGACCGGCAGAGGGCACTGGGATACCGCCGCCTGCGGGACCGGCAGAGGGCACTGGGATACTGTTGCCTGCGGGACCGGCAGAGGGAAGTGTCCATCCTGTAACAGAAGTCATCTGGAAAGTAAAAAGTAACAAAGAGGACCAACTAATTGAGGGTAATATTTGTGCTTTTGCAGATTTAGGATACCAAATTCTGCCTTCAGAGACTTGTGTACAAGTCCTGTTGACTTCAGTCGATGCTGTGCATGAGTATGTGAGGGCAGAATTTAGTCCACCCATTTTTTACAAGTTAGTGTGTGAGACAATGTATTTGGGAAAGACTTGTGGACAGAAGTCAAAATTGTAATAACTATAATAAAGCCTCTCAGCACTGCCAGTTGATTGTGATACTTCCTTTCACACTCTGTGTTTTCTGGTTAGATAAAACATCCCTTAAACACCTCATTTAATTATTGAGGGGTGTTTCTTTGTAGAAATATTATTGCTCAATATCCACAAATGCTACCTTATCCAGTAAAAGTACATAGCTGACATAAATATTATTGTAGTGTTACCCTGATGGTTCCACATATAGTTTATTTGTAAAGCAATCTATAGAGTGCTGGATGGAGTTATTTTGGAAGCATAAGTAACACAGGCATCAAGCTAAAAGCATAGCAAGTCCTTTTACCTTGCAGGAGTCAGTGGGTCTCCTTGAGAGAGGGTAGCAGAAGTAGTCTTTGCTGGGCTCTCAGGCTAGGCCTAGACTACAAGGTTTTGTCGGAAAAAGCTACGAAAAATGCACTCCACATTTTGTATAGCTTTTTCTGATTCTTTTGTTGAAAGACGCTTTTCCGACATTTGGCCTTATCTAGACTGGTGGTCTTCCTTGTGGAAGGAGGAATACAGGGGCTTCCAAAAGAGCGCGTTTGCACTTCCTCAAAAAAAAAGTGGAAGTGCATATGCATTCCCTGGACATACTGGAGGTATCCCGAAAAAACCCCATAGTCTAGACATAGCCCCAGTTATTTATATACTGTGGAGCATATTTCTCGCGGTTATCATTCTATTGGAATGTCACCAGGAGTGCATTTGGCCTTATAATACAGAGTTCTGCTTTGTATAACGATATCTACCAATTTAAAAAAAACAGAGACAACCAGGGAGTGGGAGGAGAAAGGGTAGAAATGCCATCTTACAGGGCTAGTTGCCAGACACGCAGAAAAGTGCAAGAGATTTGAGTGTAAGAAAAGGAGGAACATGGGGTAGTTTTTTGCAAAAAAGGGGAAAGATAGATATCTGGGGAGGAAAATCATGTCAGGGAATGTGGGTGACTAACAGAGGGCATTTGCAATGCAATGTACGTTGAAGGCCTGGGATCCTTGTGGAAGAAGAGAGTGCAAGGTGGAGTAAATTATCTCAGAAGAAGACTGAGATTGAAGGGAGTGTTTACACCCGAGGGCAAAGTATCTCATGCATGGATTGGATTTATCATTAGAAACCTGCATGGATACGAAATTGATATCCACATCTGCATCTGCAAAAATGCTTCACAGATATCTATATCCACATCCATGGATATAAAGAGGATATATGTGGATTTTCAGGGCTCTATTTATCGCTGGCTGAGTGTACAGGTAGCAGGTGCATGTCTAAGGGGAGTAACTTAAATTAGGGTGGCAGTTACTCATCAAAGAAATTATACACTTTCATGGTAAGGTATTCCCTAGGGGAGCACCAATAGTATGTTTCTCTATAGGAACACTTGCCATCACTGGATATAAAGAGGATATATGTGGATTTTCAGGGCTCTATTTATCGCTGGCTGAGTGTACAGGTAGCAGGTGCATGTCTAAGGGGAGTAACTTAAATTAGGGTGGCAGTTACTCATCAAAGAAATTATACACTTTCATGGTAAGGTATTCCCTAGGGGAGCACCAATAGTATGTTTCTCTATAGGAACACTTGCCATCACAACATCCTCTCCCACATTCCAGCTGAAGAGGTAAATAGGTCACTTTTTCAAGCAGAACTTAATGGCATATGCAGTTACTTGGATGTGTAGCGTCACCATCCATAAACGTGTTGACTTTCTTGAATCTGTGTTGTGAACACGTACACCTCACAGGGATATCAGAGGTACAGGTGCTGCCTTGTCCACTCTGACATATTCTTGTTTAAGAGAAGTTGGAATCTAATTCTTCAAGAGATGATGATTTATGTTACATTTCTAAAATAAAATACCTGTGTTACATAAAAGTTATATGGCTGACTTGGTTAGTTTGATTATTTGATTTTCATTAACTGACCCTTATTATCTTACTGGCACGATATTGGAAACAGAACACTGTCTACTAATTAATGTAGCATGGACACTGTATTGGGATACCTTTGGAGTCATCTGATTGTTTGACAAACAGATATGGGGGTTATTTAGACCATCTAATTTATTGTTCCCCTTTATCTAAAAGCAGGATTCCTTTTTAGACAAATTCCATGTACAGTTTTGCTGATGATAATCTGTCTCACAATGGTGCTATAGCACTTACTGTTAATAAGTGTGGGTGTACACTAGGGATATTAAATATAGTTTAATCAACTAATCGACTAGTTGATGGATTTTTCATTGACTAGTCAATTAGTTGATAAGCGGGGGAGGGAACTAGTTGATGGATTTTTCATTGACTAGTCAATTAATTGATAAGCAGGGGAGGGGGCTGTGCAGCAGGGCTAGCCCCCGGTCCTGGCAGCTAACCCCGCTGTGGCTCTGCCTTTTCAATGTATTAAGAGTCATCAGGCTCTTAATACATTTAAAGGACTAAAGTGCAGTGGGGGGGGACCCAGCGCAAGCCAGAATCAGCTGGCACTGCCTGTGCTGGGTCCCCCCACTATGCTTCTGATTTTTAAATGTATTAAGAGCCTCCAGACTCTTAATACTTTTAAAAAGCAGAGTCACCATATCTGGGATTGGGCGCGAGTTGGGAATCAGCTGATTCTCCACTCGCATCCTGTCCCCCGCTATTCCCCTGCCCCCTGCAGAGATGGTGCTGGGGAGAACTGGCTTTTAAGCTGGCACCCCCTCCCCCCCAGCACGGGCTCCTGCTGCTGCCTCTGTTAGAGGCAGCAAGGGGGGGGAGGAGGAGCGACTAGTCAAGGAACTAGTCGACTATCCAACAAGCTTTTGCTTATCGGATAGTTGACTAGTTGCTTACATCCGTAGTGTGCACACCCACAGGGAAGAGGGTTCTTTCCATTAATTTTGCAATGATTGAGCTCCTATATTTATTTCTAGATTTTTTTTTTTATTTCCTTAATTCACTGATACTACTAAGACTGATGACAGTGATGCAAATCATTAGTTTTATATTTCAACTGGAACTGCACGCCATTACATTTTTATATTTGTGTTGTTGACTTACATTTATATATTTATAGTCTTCCTAACTATATCTGTAGTAAAAGTTTACAATAAAATCATGGTTACTTAAGAAAACAAAACCAGTTTGAATATGAAATCAAGCCTCAGACCAGAGTGCTGTGAATGACAAGTGAAGCAGGAGCATTTTATGGACATGAAAAATGCATGTATCTCCTCAATTATAAATTGCATTTGAATGTCTCTTCTCTATTGATTCATTCAGTTGTGGATATATTTCCGTGTCTATAAAGCTATTTCAGGACTGACAAACCCAGGTCAGCCATGTAGAAAAGAGCTGGAGGCACTTAATACTGGTTAAGGGTATCCTAATTTCATTTGATATCCATGGTTACTGTTTCCAGGTGAGACGGGAGAAAAAGTGGAAACTGAGAAGCACAGTGAGCTAGTAAGTGAGGGGACTGAAACAAAAGAAGAAGAAACAGGAGAAGCTGTGGATGCTACAGCAGCACCAGAGATAGGTATGTTGATAGAGGAGTGAAGAACCATGTGTATTATCGTTTAAGAGACAGAAAAGCTGTGTAGTGTCAATGGACATGTCTTTCATTATCATTACATTCTCAATTTGCAGCTGCTGCCTTGCAATTTTATTGCAGAAGGCATATTTATCTTAAGTTAATGGCGTGTAGGGCAGCAACGAAGGTTCTCCATTTTTGTCTGTCTTTGGCCATTTTCTCCACTGTGTCCCAGTTGTAATTCATTCTCTTCATATCTGCCTCAACAGTAAAGATGTCCTTTTTTGTAGCAATCAAGCGTAAGTAGTACATTCTGTCAGGACTCATTTATATAATGTTCCTATAATCAGTAAATCATTTACTGTTTGGCAAAAATGGGAGACTTTCTGTAGTGCACAGGCTGGAAAATTAGCTGTTTCTTTAAGAGTATGAATCCCAAAGTTATTATTTGCTAGACTTGTTCTTATGAATAGTATATTACCACAACTCTGAGATTTCCTTTCCATGATGATCCTTCATTTTAGATCATCCGGCTTTTTGTTATTAGCAGCTGAATTCAGCAGCATAACACTGGAGTAAATGCACATTCCAGAGTCAATGCAATCATGTGGGTAAGTAGAGCGCATGAGCTAGTGAGAGAATGTTTAAAAACAAATGAAAAATAATAATAAAATAATAAAGAATAATAAAAAAGCTGGCTCTTACGACCTGTTCCTGTAAATTCTCACTCTCACAAATAGTCCGAGGGTGAGCAGTAATTTTTGATGGGAGTGTGGACTCCAAGAATTTGATAAATCTTCAAGGGCCTCTTCCAGGACATTAATGTGCAGAGAGACTCCAAGAATTTGATAAATCTTCAAGAGCCTCTTCCAGGACATTAATGTGCAGGGTCAGGGATGGAGGTTAAGTGCAGAAGGAAATTCAGAAGAGGGGAATGAAGTGCACGAGGGAGTGCTAGGTCCTGGGGATTGGTTTGGATATGGGTGCAGGAGGACGTAGAGGAGGAGTGTAGGAATGGGTGCAGGGTCTGGGAGGAGGTTGGGACCTGGGGTAGGAGTTTAGGAGCGGGTACAGAGATTTGGGTTGTGTCCTACAGCAGGAGGGGATTGTGACTGGGGCAGGGATGCAGGAGAAGATTCTGACCTGGAGGAAGGATGCAGGAGGGGGTTCAAGGTCTGGGAGGGGGTTGTGGACTAAGGAAAAAGGGGGTGCAGAGATTTGGATTATGACCTGGGGTAGGGAATTGGGGTGCAGGATTTGGGAAGAGATATGGGTATGGGAACTGGGGTGCAGAAGGTTTGGGTTACATGAGGTAGGATGCAGGATGGGGAGCAGAGGTTTGGGGTGCAGGAGGGGGTAGGAAGTGCATACCTAGGCAGCTCACTGCCAGCAGCCCAGCAATGCCTGCCCCAAACCTACACATTCCTGAGAGTAGCCAGCTGTGGGGACATGTACTTCTCTGAGTGCTGCAAGCCTAAGTAAGGGAGGGTTATTTCATGCACTGCCTGACCTGCAAACAGGCAGCTCCCATTGATCAGAAACCGGTCAATGGAAGCTTGCAAGATTGTGATGGGTAGAGGCAGCACACAAAGCCTCTCCCACCTACTCACCCTCCCCCATGTGGTTGTACTCAGAGGTGAAGCAGGCAGAGAGCCAACCTGAGATGCCTGCTGGGCTGCAAGCCCCACCAGGCCTTTTTTTGCCTGCCTCTGTCTTAGTCACATGAGTAGTCCTGATCGGACTACTCACATGAATAAGAACTCTTTTTTAAGAGGCAATGGATATTACATAAGATGATAGAAATATGATAGTGAATTTGTTTATAAGCAGATATCTATGATCAAAAGGAGCCAGAGGACTCGGGATTGTAATTACCTTTGATTTATACCCCCATTCTGTATAACAATGAAATAAAAGAAGAGACATTTCAATAGCTGCTTTTTATAGATAGCACCACAGTATAAAAATGAGTTTACTTTTTGATTAAAAAGTGAGCTGTTGCTACTTTACTGCATGACTTGGTCTTTTGTCTATATTTCTCTGTATAGTTCAGTCTGTCTGCACTACTGTGGAAAAGAATGTGCCATATGCACACTAGGCAATAGATTACTTTTGTTTTAAAGAGGGTGACTCTTGAAGCTTGTATTATTGGCATTTGTCTGTCCATTCTTTAGAATAAAGAATGGTATACCATAGGCATGGACTCTGCGTGCTCCGGAGCTGGAATACTCATTTGAAAAAATTAGTAGGTGCTGAACACCCACTAGTAGCCAAGCTCCCCTCTCTCCACCCCCATGCCTCTTGCTCACTGGAAGCCCTGCTGACCTACTCCCTTGCCCTCCAGCACTTCCAGAGCACTGTGAGCAGCTGATTTGCAGTGTTCAGGAAGCTCCGAGAGGGAGAGGGTGGAGCGAGTATGGGGCATGCTTGGGGGAGGAGGTGCGGCAATGGCAGAGGGGAAGGAGTGGAATGGGATTTAGCGCAGGCGGGGTTTGGGGTTGAGCACCTTGCCCGACTAGAGGGGAAATCAGTGCCTACATGGTGGTATAGGATAGTTTGGGAGTGAAGCTTCCTTTTGTGTGCAAACAATATAAATCTAAGTTACATATATGCCCCTGGTACTGTATTACCTGAGCACCTTATTCTCTCTTTGCAACACCTCCGTAAGGCAGAGAAATACATAGAATCATAGAACACTAGAACTGGAAGGGACCTCGAGAGGCAGGACCAGGCACTGTCTAGATCATCCTTGATAGATGTCTATCCAACCTGCTCTTAAATATCTCCAGAGATGGAGATTCTACAACCTCCATAGGCAATTTATTCCAGTGTTTAACCACTCTGAAAGATGGGAAGTTTTTTCTAATGTCCAACCTAAACCTTCCTTCCTGCAATTTAAGCCCATTGTTTCTTGTCCTATCATCAGAGGCCAAGGAGAACAATATTTCTCCCTCTTCCTTGTAACACCCTTTATATACTTGAAAGCCATTATCATGTCTCCTCTCAGTCTTCTCTTTTCTAAATTAAACAAGCCCAATTCTTTCAGTCTTCCCTCATAGCTCATGATTTCTTTAATAATTTTTGTTGCTGTTCTGTGGACCTTCTCTAATTTCTCTACATCTTTCTTGAAATGTGCCCAGAACTGGACACAATACTCCAATTGAGGCCTAATCAGCACAGAGTAGAGCAGAAGAATGACTTCTCGTGTCTTGCTCACAATACTCCTGTTAATGCATCCTAGAATCGTGTTTGCTTTTTTTGCAGTAGTGTCACACTGTTAACTCATCTTTAGCTTGTGGTCCACTATGACCCCTACATCCCTTTCAGCTGTATTCTTTCCTAGACATTTCTCTAGTTTGCCCAGATCATTTTGAATTTTGACCCTAACCTCCAAAGCACTTGCAACCCCTCCCAGCTTGGTATCATTTGCAAACTTAAGAATCATACTCTCTATGCCAGGGCTACTGAACATGTGAGCCGCATGTGGCCCGTGGCCTGTTTTTTTTGCAGCCTGCAGTGCGGTTTCGGTTTACACGGGGCTCAACATGTGGTCTACGGGTGGGATCCTTTGAACATGATCTCCACTGGGAACATGCTCCACAACAGCGAGGTATCTCCCAGGCGGGGTGAGCATTGAAAGATGCTAGTAGACAGGCTGGCTGGAACATATGGGTACAGGGTGATGGCGTTTCTAGCTCCCAGGGAGGAGGTACAGGGAGCACCGGGGCATCATGGGAAGTGCTGGCTGCTTAGCCTTTTAGGCAGAGCCTGAGAGGTGCTGACTGCCTCATACTGGCCACGTTTGGAGCCCTGCCTCCATCCCGCATGGAGCAATTGACTCCTGTGTGGGGACATCAGTCCTGCTGGGAATCCAGGACGGGGCTCTCGGACATCTGTTCTTTTTTTGTCTCTCATGTCCAGGCTGACTTGCCTAGCTCCCTTGCAGCAGGTTGGCGCGCTCTGGCTTGGAAACTTTTTCTGAGTAAAATCACTCCAAGAAATACAGAACCTGAAGCTTCAAGCTAAACACCAATATACACTTTTCTTTTTAAAAGTGCTCATTAAAAGTGCTGTTATATAGGTGGAAATCTGATAAATATTGCATTTTATGAATATCAGCAGAACTGTCTTAAATGGGGCCTGCATTTTGTGTAGTCTTGCCTTAATTGTATTCATGCCCATAAGTGTGAAAGAAGCTATTTGCATATATATGTGCATGTATATGCAACCACACTTAAGTTGCAGCCCTCGGCATGTTCTGTGACTGTCATTGTGGTGCCTGGAGCTTCCAAAGTTGAGTAGCCCTGCTCTATGCCATCATCTAAATCACTGGTCACCAACCAATAGATCGGGATCTACTGGTAAATTTGGAGCCTCTGACTGGTGATCCTGACTGGTTTAGCCTGGAAGCTATAAAGCACTGGCACTTCAGTTGCCCCTCTGCCCACTACCATTGTGCTCCTACCCTCTGCCTTGGAACTGCGCCCTGGGAGCCTCTTGCTCACTGTGCAGAGTGTGGGAGGGAGAAGATGGGGGGTGGTGCTGATGTCAGGGTGTTCCTCCTCCCCTAACTACTGTACCCTATCTCCACACAGAGAGAAGGGGATAGAGGGAGCTTGGCAATGCAAATCTCTGTCACTCTCACATACTGTGTGTGTGTCTGTCATTCTCACAAATACACACTGCCCTTCACTCTTATCTCCCAACCCAACATATACGCTTGCAAAGTGTGCTACTTTTGTTTTTTGACTGGTCTGTGCATTTCATAATTTTTATTTCTCTCTTACGCTTAAATTTAATTCTTTGAGTAGTGAGTTCTAAAATGCCTAACCTGTCATTGCTGGAGTAATTATCCCTATGGTAATTTCTTCTCCTGGAAGTGGCTGGCATGTCCCTGCAGCCCCTAAGAAAGGTAGAGCAGGGGGTCTCCACATAGTGTCCTTGCCTGCAGATACCACTTCATTGATCAATAATAGGGAACCGTGGCCAGTAGAAAGTGTGGGCTCATTGCCTGTAGAAGAGGGGTAGAACATGGCAGCATGGAGCCATTGCTGTACATGCCAGTTGCTTATTGGAGTGGTGCAGGGCCAGGGCAAGAGTAATTCTGCCTTAACTCCACTGCTCCACCACCCAGATGCCATCTCTGTTAAAAAGTGCCCCACCAGAGCCTGCTTCTTGAACCTCTGTCCCAGCCCTTAACCTCTTCCCACACCCAGACTCCTGCCCCAGATGTGAATCCTCCTGCACCCAAACGCCTTCCCAGAGCTTGCACCCTGAAACCCCTTCTTGACCCCCAGTCACCCACTCTTGGCCAAGCCTGGAGTCCCTCCCACACTCCAAACCCCTTGGCCCAAGACCTGAGCCTGCCCCCCAGCCCCCCCCCCATCCCAGCCTGTTGAAAGTGAGTGAAAATGGAGGATGAGGGGGAAATGGAGTGAGTAGGGTGAGGCCTCGGAGAAGGGGTGGAACGGGCAGGGCCTCAAAGAAAGGGCAGGAAAGAAGTGGGGTAGAGGTATTTAGGTTTGAGGTAAATCATACATTGCACTTAAATTGAAAAAGTGATCTTGTGGTTAAAAAGGTTGGACACCACTGCTGATGAAGATATTAAACA